ATCGATTTTTTTACTGACAAAATCACATAAAAAAGTCAAAAATTTCAAGTAGTTCTCCTTTACTAACACTGATAAATTATTACTAGAGTTCTAAAAAATGGTTAAAAATACTAATTGTAGAATATTCTAATAATAGACAGAGGTTGATTATAAAAAAGCATTTATTAATAATAAAATTATCTCAATTCCGATATCCTTGCAGTTGCAGTTGACTGTTTTTCCATCTATCAAATAATAATAATTATTTTTAAAATTTCTCATCATCATCATCATCCGAACTGCTTGAACTTGAACTGCTACCCCTACCTATCCAAAGCCAATTTTCGAATTTCCCTAAAACTTTAACATCCACATCCCCTATTATTTGCAAATAGTAATATAATCAAGGTATTCTTCTGCCCCTCTTTACTCCTGTTTCCTTTTAGTATGGCTCTCAGAAAGTGCTGTACCATCCTATCTCTCCTTTTCCTCATTAATTTTCGTAGAGCCCTTTGTTCTCATATTGTATCGAATGCCTCCTTGCGTCTAACCTTTTCTATTCACATTATGCTCATTATCCTCGTATTATTTCAAACAACCACGACGTGGAAGTGCATATGTAATTTTCTGATAGATGTATAATAATAATTTCGGAAACTGTAAAAGACGATCATGAAAAAAGGGCGTAGAATGTTGAATTCAAATTTTTACCATACAGATACTCTGCCATACCATTTGACTATGATAGAAAGAATTTTAGACAACTCAAAAAAGAGAGGGATCCAAACTGCTCTTTTTTATAATATCTTAAAAATTATGACGAAAATGTGGTTTAATAAAAAAGTTAATTGCATAACTTCGTCGCTTCCGGTGATATTGAATTGAGATATACCTATCGATTCACTGGGATTCAACTAATTAGGATAGGGTTTCCTAACAGAGCGTTGCGACGCTTTGGGACGCCATGGCATTAGCCCAGGGGCGTCTTGAGGCGATTCACATAGATGGGTTGAGAAGTTATGCTTAAAAAGGCAAGCACACAATTCTTATGTAAATAAATAAATACCTCTTTTCATTTTCGTATGTTCTTATGTTTTTTTCTTATTTTCTAATAAAAATTACAAATGTTATTTGGAGTTTTTTGATAATTTGTTACTAAACTAGAAGGGAGGGTATTTTTTGGCAAGAAAGTGGCAGATTCCCAAAGGCGTTACAGTAAGAATAAGTTTGGGAAGCCCTGAGTTAGGAGAATAATCACTGGAAGTGACGTAGTTAATCTGGATAAATACAATCGTTTTTATCAAAATACGTTTTTTACCATTTGCGGTTCAAGTCAGCAAGAATCCCTTTAGGTAGGTATTTTTTTTACAAATTTACAAGTAATTTTGAGGGTTTTCGGAACTCCAGCCAATTTCAATAAATGAAATGAGTCGTTATTAAATTATGTCGTAAAATCATGGTAGAAATTTAAAAGTATTTTAACTTAGTTTTTACAAAACATTCGACATTTTGATTTGATCACTTTATTTATTGAATAAATCTTATGTACGTGTATAATGTTCGTTTATATGTATTGTGCATACCTAGTAGCTATCGTAAGTTGAAATGTAGGTCTCACAGTCAGATGAAATCTTACTGTATCGCACATGCCTTTCTGAATTCTAACAAAGACCTAATCGATCATGTTGTCCAAGCAAAGGTTTGAATTTATTCACCTGCTACTTCACCGCAGTGTAACGCCTACCCTTTTTCTACTTGCGTCTATTTTAATTGGAGATTTCTGACACTTCTACACATCACCTGCTACTTTTTCCAATTTAAGCAGGCATAATTAACGAAAAAACAAACGGGCCAGGCCTGTGAAACCTACCGTTTTTAGTAACATGGCAGATAATAAAAGAATCTCCTTAAAGAAACACTCGTTGTGTTTGATTAAACTATTTTAATATTTGAACAAACAAGCTGGTATGTACGGGGGCTTCGTTTCTCCATTAAAAGATAAAAAATATTATTAAAAGATGCATTTTTATACCTCGCGTTAAAAAAAACCGAATAGGGAAAAGAAACAAAAATATATAAAGGAAAATGAAAATTAAACACAAAATTTTACGAAAGAACGTTTAATATAATGAATACTACTTAA